TTTCTTGATGTTCGTTTATTTTTTTGTTGATGTTCATTTATTTTATTTTTGATGTTCGTTTATTTTTTTATTGATGCCTACTCCCACTTTTCGGGTTTGGGGATGAGGTTATTGAGGTTCCTAAGCCCTAAACCCTAAACCCGGGTGTTTCGGTTGGGTCAATTGTGCGGGCTTTACGAAGCCAAGGAATTTGATGTTGGGCTTCAGGTTCCCAGGCTAGATTCAAACATGCGCCAAACATGTTCAGCTTCACACGGTTTTGGGTTTATGGTTTGGGATTTAGGATCATCATTTCAACCATTTCCCGTGATTCATCCAAGGTCTGCTTGCTACTTTCACTACGAACTCATCAAACCTCCAGAATGTCCAATCAGTTGCTCGTCTGTTTTGTTTTGCGCAATTGCGGATCCTGGCTTGCCCAGAAAGAGTGGGCACTTCTTTTTACCAGGCATTTGGCAAAGTGGGGGAAAAGGATACGTAGGACCCTAAACGATTCCGATCTCACATTCCTTGCTAGGTAGACTTTGCAAAGGATTCTCTATAGTATTGTATTTTCCATTAGCCCAATATTACCCCAATATAAACCCTAAATAAACCCTTAAAGTAGTTTCCATTTCATTTTCCATTAGCCCAATGTTACTCCAATATAAACCCTAAGTAGGCCCCAATATACTGGCCAGACTCGGGCTTTACAGAGGAGTTAGGGTTTAGGGTTTAGGGTTTAGGGTTTCTGGTGAATGGGCGCTGGGGCAGATTCTGCACTGAAATGCAGATGCTTGGGGTGCTCTTGATGATGCGCACTCGTGTAGTCAGCACACCCACGAAGGTCATCGAGATTATGTCATAACTTTCGCGCGCCCCTGCATTGTTGCCAACTATGTCGCTGTCAATGTTAGCCACCCCCCCTCAAGGCTAATTACTACTCCCTGGGGAGACCTTAGGAACTAGGGTTAACTAGACTGACTAGACTTGACAAACGTAGCATGTGTCTGACAAATATGATTAGCATGAATTTCAGACTTTCGTGCCAACGTCTGACCCCTGAAGCAAAGGCAAGACATGCTCAAGTCCATCAGTTGCTTCAATCCTCTTTGGCTTGCAAGCCCCGACCCCTAACGTTCTGAGTCCTTTAGCTCATAGCTACTTCCAACAACTACGGGCTCTCTCGTCTTAGTTCGCGTGCCGCAGTGGTCTAACAAGTACGACATGGCTTCGAGGGGGTATCTTTTACGGTAGTCATGCAAGGATTGTAAGGACGTGCGATTGATATCTATTCAAGCATCTACATTCCTTGCTCTCTGCTTGTGCAACACGGTTGACTGAACTTGTGCTACCGCGAATGACGGTCGAGTGTCTTCTATCTCGCTGTTAAAAGATGTTGTAAGCAAATGTGTACAAAAGCCACAACGAAGACATTTTTTGACTCTGCCAGCTACAAACCATTACTTGCGGCAACCCTTCGCAATGCTAGATCCCGACGGTGCCCAGCTCCTTGCAAACAAAAACGGAAGCTTGAAGCCTGCATCCAAAGCTAATCTCTAAATCCTTTACCCGAGCTGCTGAATTCCGGACCATCCGTGGTCAGTGCCAGCATTGCTGTTGGGCGTGAGGGTGCGCGCAAAGTCCGAGTGCCTTGGGCGTTAGGACGCGCCCTGCGCCGGACTAACACGGAAGCCCGAAAAGATGCATGATTTACAGGGTAGAGAGCTTCGAGATTCAGATACACAGCCTTGTGTTGGGGCGTCGAGCAGGAAGCTCAAGCAGACTAAGCCGAGCACTGATGAGACGCTCTGAATTTCAACTTGGCGGCGCTGCATGGCTCAGGAGTGGTAAGACAAATTTTCCAATAATGGCCCGCAATACTTTCAAGAAAGCCGGGTTCAAACCATCTCCCAAAACAGCAACCACTTTGAAATACTCTTTGGCCTGAACACCCCCCGCAAAACAGTAAGACTAGGGTTTGAAAAAGCAAAATTCAGCCGCTAAACCTTAGGTAGCAACAGCTCAAGGCGACGAATGGATGGACGCTTTGAAGATGAGTGTGATCCATTTTGGGATCTGTTGGCGCTAGGTACATGCCTTCATACGTCCCGGTATTCTTGGAAACATTCACTTGAAAGCATTTGTAGGTGCGGCCCGCTGAATCATCCCCTCACCCTGGACCTCCAAAATACCTACAACCCAGAGAGTCCATATACCCAATAATGAAGTACTTGGGATTTGGGTAATAATCAATATAGTACAGGTTTTGGGTAAGTATATGATTATTAGGTACTTGGACCCTTAGGGTAACAACGGCCTGTTACCTTGGTGTTCTGGTTATTTGAGACATGGGTAAAGTTTAGACTCTAGGCTGTAGGGGGGATACCTAGCACAACTTAGCACATGACAAGCCCTTCAGAACTGGCCTAAGAGGAGTGTGAAGCCCGCAAACGTGGCATGCTGGGTGAATCGAAAAACACAGCTTTTTTCCACACCCCCACACCAAGGATTCCAGAAGTGCTGTTGATCTGGCAGACCGCCCTAAACCACAAAACCTTATCCTTAACACTGAATGCAAAACCCTGCACCGGAAGATGATGCCGGGAGGCGTTGCGATCACGACGCTGTCGTAAACGTTTTGTGCCTTCAGCTCTGCAATGAACTCTTCCAACGCCTGCAGAGTTGTAGAGCTTGAGGGTTGGGGTTATACGGGGATAATGGAAAAGAAAATGAGTTTTGGGGTCCACTGTACTACAGTCCTGCGAGGATTAAGAAGGGAGAGTAGAGATAGCTCTTTACACGTCACCTAGCAGCCCCATCTATACTGACTCCCTCCAGGTTCCCTTTTATCTAGGCTTATGTAGGACTCAGTAAGGTCAACTCTCACCGGTAACCTTGAGAGGGGTGGCATGGGGTGGGTGGTAGGGGAACCCATAGGCTCTATAGGATGTGCCTCCTCGTAGTCACCCAAGGGTCGGTCATGAGTGCCCCCCATACTACCCCCCTAGGTTCCCTCTTAACTGGTCGTAATTCTTGTTTAGTAGACATGCAGAAGACAATGACAACTACTAGTCTAGAGGGATTAGCCTTAAACCCTAAACCCTAATAGAGGGATTACTAGAATGATCCATTCCTTCTTTCCTTGCTTTGCAGAGCTAAGTAGGGTTACTGAGGGATGATTTGGCTTCATGAAGGATACCTCAGGGGGAAGGGTGGGGGGGGTAATAGGGAGGTGCATGGTTTCGGAAACCAAACAAAACCTATAAAATCCCCTATACTTGAAGTTGCCAAAGTCTCCCCAGATACTTGGGAACCCTAAGCCATGTCGTACTTCTGGAGGCCTTCTGAAATCCTGGCCTGAAACCTTACGTAACTGCTGGAGCTTCGCAGTACCGCATTAGCCGGATTTTGGATGTTAGGTTTAGGGTTTAGCCCTGGGGTAGCCCACATAATAGCAGTAACAAAGTGGACAGGAAAATGCAAAATGAAATTGGGGATCCTGATGTAGGGAAGCCTCAATAATGACCAATACTGTTCCTTTGTGCTCCTTTTTCAATGAGAATAGCATACAACCCGTATATAACCTGTCGAAGCCTTTCTACTGTCACCATGCCACACCCCCCTACTGTAATGCCAAATGATCCCAGTGCGGCTTAACACCATCCCTAAGGGTCCAAGGACCCAAATAAAGGGTTTTAGTGCCCAAATACGATAGTCTTAATAGTATTTGGGCCCTAAAACCCTATTATTTGGGTCTTTGGACCCTTAGGGTATAGTATTGGGAAATCCAACACCGTGGGGGGGGGGGGGGGCTGGGGAGTTTTACGTTCAGGGGTGGCGATTGAAACCCTACGTAACGCATCTATACCCCTAGTTTCCACTTTATGTTTATTTTGCATTTGATGCTCCACTACTGGGATACTATCTCGAAACCCTTTGAAATCCATATATAAGCATATAAGCCCATATAACCCCTGCATCATCCTCGTAGAACCCCTTCATATACGCTATATCACCCCTTTAGAACCCCTGTGAACTCCCAATAGAATCCCCATATCCCCGTAGAATCCCTACATGGGACTCTTGAGGATGACCAGGCCGAGATAGGACTTTGGAGGATACAGGGTTTCAGGGTTTAAGGGTGTGGTGTTTTAGGTTTATGGTTCTGGGATTAGGGTTTAGGGTTTTAGGGTTTTAGGGTTTTAGCGTTTAGGGTTTGGCGCGCAGGGGAGGGGACATGCCAGAAGTTTGCTGTTCGAACCAACCAGAATGCACCGCATCTGGGGACCTAATTACTTCGAATGAGTAGGTTGTTGGGAGGGTTTAGGGTTTAGGGTTTAGGGTTTAGGGGCTATAGTATAACCCTAAACGACACTAAACATATAAGGGTGATAGGCGGAATATAACTGTTTTTATTCAGGCTTCTACGTTAGTAAGGCTTCCTAGGCAAACTGAGCAGCTGTGCGAACCTGATATCTCCGAGTCTGTACTACTCATCACTCCAAGGCGTTCCACCCCAATACCCTCCCCCAAGCTAACGTGGAAACTCACCTAAGCCGTGGGCCCTTTTTGAAGGACAGTAATCGTTGGAGGGCTCCTCTTGCTCTTAGATGTAGGTTTGTAGGGGAGGGTAAATCGCTACTTGGCAATCGCCTCGTTAAGGTCCTCGAACTTGCCATTCAGGCCGTTCTCCACGCCCTTGTGGTGATCCCAACCGCCATCCTGCAATTGCTACTGAGAACAGTTTGCAAGAGTCTGCGGACTAGGGCAACCAAGAACTCTCCAAGCAGCGTCGTTCACGGCAAATCGACATTTTGAACAGGGAAGCCCTTCCCTACCCCCGAGTATGAGAGTGCCTGTTAGAAGGACACCCAAAAAAGAAGCAATGTCCACTTGAGGGCCAGCAAACCGTTCAGATCAATCCTGGTTGGGGAAGCTTGCGGATCTCATCACTTGTACAGTCTACTTGGGGTTCAGGGCTTGGGGTTTCACACCTAGGGCTCCCGGTAGTGAGGACCCTACAAGAGTCACATGATGGCTATCGAAGGGTCTCTAGTTAGAGGTTGGGGTGATCAGAATTCTCTATGAACTGATTAGCCCTTTTCCTTTCCATTTGATTCTCTACTCCCTGACCTACATCCCACCCCCTAAAAAGGAATTGTCATTTCATGTTGCAGTGAAAGTTCTTTCTCCATTGTTATAATTACCCGGAGTTGGCTTCTTTCATAGGGAGTGGAAGGGTGGATCCCTGTACAAGAAGCTGTATAACGATCAAGAATGTAGTAGTCTCCATTTTCTTCTCCACTTCTCGGTCCCTACCCTTAAACCCTAAACCCCAAATAGTAGCTTCCAGTTTCGTTTCCATTAAACCCCTACAGACCCTATATAACCCCTAAAACCAGCAATATAATCCACGCCAAACGGCAGAGGCTAGGAGTCCCTTCGGGTATATCCCTGATTCACACACCCGAATGTGGGTTCAGGGTTTAGGGTTTAGGGTTTAGGAGTGTACGGGTTAAGGGTTTATTTAAGGTCAATATGATTTAGGTGGACCCCCCACCCTGGAATAGTGACTATGAGGGATAACAAGGATCATATGGGGGTCCTCCTACATTCCTATTATACTGTATTACAGGATCGGGGGTCCTCCTAAGTCATATAATATATTGTGCCCAAACACAACAGAAGTAACCGTCATCGTTTGTGGTCTCTCAGACTTTTCAACACCGAATTAGATACCTACAAGGTACCCTACGTCTACCTTTCCAAGATTCCCTGCCGAACCCTAAACCTTACTTACTAGTGTTTAAGGGGGCGTGGGGGAGTAAATATCAGGAATAGTATAGGTGAACCCTAAACCCTAAGCACGGGGGCTTTACAAGGATTACTGCGAGGATTCACTTGTAAACCCTAAACCCGTATCCCCAAACCCTGCGTCCTAACCCCCAAGCCTTAACCCTTAAGCCTTAGTAGCTAAGTTCTAAACCCTAAGCCCTAAGCCCTATTTATCCCCACATGAGCTATAGTCTTCAACTCTTAGTCTCCCCCTGAATAAGCCCTATAATAATCCTTTATGTTAGTCCCTTGTATAGCCCTGCTGTGAGGAGTTTAGATTCTAGCTCATATCCTAACCCGCAAGCCTCAGTAGCTAAGTTAAAGACCATGAACCCCAACCCTAAACCCTAATCCCAAAATCCTACATCCTAATCCTTAAGCCTTGGTAGCTAGGTTCTAAACACTAAACCCTAGACCTAAACCCCAAACTGTGAACCCTAAACCCTATATGTCCCCAAATACCCCTATAAACAGGTACTACTGGGGTGTCTAGGGAGTGTAGGCCTCGACAAAGAAGAAGTCACGCTCAGCCTGGCGCTCGACACGGGCCGCGATCAGGGTCGCCGCTTTCCTTGGAAAGATTTGGGGTGTAGGGTTTGGGGGTTAAGGATTTTGGGTTGGGGTTTAGGGGTTAGGGGTTTGGTTTAGGGTTTAGAGTTTAGGGTTTAGGCTTCAGGGTTTCAGGTTGAGGGTTTGGGGTTTAGGGTTGGGTTCAGCATTTTGGGAATGCTTGGGGTGAGGGAAAGGTTGGGATTTGGTAAAACTTCAGAAGAATTTCTGAGGCTGGGAGTTTATACGACACTTGTCTGAGGTTCTGTTGATGGGCTATGGCCAGCTTTGGCGGGGAAGTTTGCTCCTTTCGCGCCATCATGCGCTCGTTTTTTTGCGAAGCCGCGAGGACAGCCGAGACATGATCGGAAGACGCGGCCTTTGTAACAACCATCATCCGAAAATTCTTAATGACTTGAACGACAGGTGACAACTCTGATCAAACAAATCTCGGCCTTGCCACGATCTACAACATACCTTAGGAGGACCCCCCACCCTGTAATAGTGACTACTATGGATAATGAGGATTATATTGGGGTCCTCTTATATTACTATTATACCACTATTACAGGGAGGGGGGTCCTCCTAAAACATACCCCTGACTTGTAGTCTTCAACCCTTCTCCAAACCCATTGCAGGCCTACATATGCCTCCCACACAAAAGAACCTTGCAAAGTCTTAGAATGATACAAAACCCGGAACCGTACCACATTAATGTAGACCCCTAATTAATAAACCCCTTCCCCTTAATGGGAATTATAATGGGGATGCTAAAAGGAGGGGGTTCATTAATTGGGGGTCTACATTAACTCCCAACTCACGTTGCTGATGCCAGGGTGCTTGAACTGCTGCCGCAGCGGCTTGTAACCCTCAGCGGCAGGGGTGTGCGGCCATGAGGTTTAGGGTCAGGGTTTAGGTTTAGGGTTTAGGGCCTATAGCTTTTACACATGTGGATTCTTTCATACCGGGGGGTTCCCAATGACTAAGTGCGTGCGTATACGCCACATAGTTAGGGGAAGATGAGATCGCCAACATAACCGCCCCAGGTAAGTGCTCTGGGGCTTCGCAAAGGGTGTCCACAACTTTGCTTGATATGATCTATAATATGAGCTCCTAGTATCCCCCGTAACAACCCTTATAGTGTCCCCTACAAACCCCCTTTAAGAAGTTTAGACTATGAGTCATGGGGACTTAGTAACTGGGTCAATAAGGGGAATAACTGGGGCGAGTATGTGGCTTAGACGGGTTATACGTATACTTAGTAAGTCTGCCTGACCCGCCAAGTGGGAGGAAGCTTGCGGAAAACAAGCCCGAACATTGCACCCCACACCCTGGAGCAGCAAACTCATTATGGTCAGCCCAGGCCTGCTGTGGCCACATTGTCACATGGTCATAACCTTTGTTTCCCTACCTAACTCAAATAAAACAGACCCCGGATGAATAAACCCTCTCCTTTTAAGGGCCTTAATATTAGGCTCCCTATTATACTACCTACTAAGGGAAGGTAGTTTACTAATCAGGGGTCTACATTAAAACAATATCAAACGCAGCCGGACTGGAAGCTTTAAGAAGCTGCTGCGTCCATCCTTACATGTGTTATGAGTCCACGGGCGCCAGCCATGATTGAACCTGGAATCACTCCTGCAAACCTTGAAGTCACGGCACACTGATTTCGTAGTCTGTGGACAGCTCTGCGTTCTCGAGCTGCTTCTCCTCGCAGCCGAGTGGTCCCCTGTTGGGGGCCTTCTCCGTGTCGTATTGCGTGGGAGATATATATATATAGATATGTATATATATATATATGTATATATATATATGTATATATATATATAGAAACAAACCCCTTTGGAGGCAGCAGCACAGGGCACAGGATGGGGTGACTGCAGGCTTCATTCTAAGAGATGTCGGGGTTCCTTTTCCGAATACCGACGATTTTCTTAAAGAAAAAAAACCTGGACACTATACCAACGAAGAATAACTTTGAAAGGTGCGAGAACAAAGTTGCCCAAATCTGTGGAAGAACAGAAAAACTATCTGGCACTACGTAGGAAATGGGAGTATGGATGCTTGTCCTCGTCCCTACATATCCCCAAGAGTAATCCCTTGAACCCATTCCCCTAAACCCTAAGCCCATTCCTCCACTCCCTACGGGGCACCCTATAAGGGCTTATCAGTGCTTATAAGACTTTAACTTTGTACCCTTAATGTTTGAAACCCTGGGTGTTGGGACCCTTATTCAGAGCCAAATTCCATGGCTTAGGGACCCAAACCCAAGGGTACAAAGGACAACTCCCTGATTGTTACTCAAACTCAATGCTCCCAAGCCTACACACTAAGTAATGCAGTTTGCATGTTCTTTTCCACGCCTTGATTCCCGACGAACCAACCTCAAATCGGAACCTGGTACTAGTACTACGGTGGAAACTAAAAATCCTGCATGACCCTAAGTACCTGCTACCTCGGGAATTATAGTACTATGGTATAATAAGGTCAGGCAGGATGTTTAGTATCAGCAGTAGTACTAACACCTGAACTGAACTCCAAACTAGTACTAGTACGACTAGAAGAAAAGAGAGTACAGGCTCCATGGTAAGAAGACCCTTAGCCCTAAACCCCATATAACCCTTAAATAACCCCATATATCCCCCTGATCCCCTAAACCCTAGACCCTATATAACCCCTATAGGTAACCCCTATATATCCCCCTACACCCTACACCCCAAACCGTTAAAACCCTATAATTCCCCCTGAACCCTAGACCTTAAACCCTAAGCCCTGAACCCTAAACCTCAAACCCTAAACCCTCTATAACTCCTATATATTCCCCTACACCCTAGACCCTAAGCCCCAAACCCCCAACCCTATAAAACTCCTATATATTCCCCTACACCCTA